AGAACATTTTAATAAGCCCCAGTGGCTCCATATACCGTTTGCTCTGACCAGTAAACTTCTACATGTTTTTAAAGAAAACAAATGTGTGGGAAAAAATGTTGTTTGTTTTTTGCCAAACCAAAATATTAATCTGCCCTGCTAGTGAAGTTTCTTGGCCATGCCACTGACTGCAATTTCAAAAGTGTCATCTGTATTTTTTAGTTCTTCTATGTATAAAGAATCCAACAGCAGTTTCTTTCAAGGTTCAGTAAGTTTGAATGTTTAGGGGGCTGTAGCCACAAGATTTGGCAAACGATTCACTTGTCATGTTAATAAAAAAGGAATTGTTTCTGCCTCTTTAAGCTAGGATCTAAATGAAAGAGTTGGATCAACTGGATTTTAATCATAAAATCCAGATTCTTCTTGCTTGCAAGTGAAAAGCTTCATGGTGTTTAGGGTTTTCATCTAATTTAATTTTATTTAGAAAAAGAACTGAGTTTCTTCCATGTTACCAATTCTTGAATTTGCTTACTTGTTACGCTGTTCAAACCTAATTGGTTATCTTGATCTTAAAAAGAAAATTGAGCCTTTCTGCGGTTTTTATTTCCCATAAGCAATTGAACTGAAAAGTGGGGTGTGGTGGTTTTTTTTTTTTAAAACTCCTCAAGGTCTTTTTTTATAGATGGCATGTTAGCTTTGAGGGCTCTTTCATGACTGGTAAAAGCTTATACCGTGTAAAATCTATAGCTTTTAATGCGTTTTGTTTTTCACTTCAAACACAGTAGCAAGAGAAGAAGTAATAGAATATTTCATGGTCATGCTGTTTCAACAGTTCAGTTTCTTTTTACTTGGTGATGCTTATTCTGTAGCTCCAAGTGCTTGGGCTTAAAATTTGATTTCCCAAATTCCTTAGCCTGAAAGTGTTGAAACTTAGAACACGCTATCTGTAACACAGACTGAAGAACTGTCTTGCTTACATGATTACTTTTCTTCTAACACAGAGATTATAAGGAATTAGATCAGATAAATGCTTATGCTATCTGTAGAATGAGAAAACACAGGGTAGATAATACTTGTTCCTGAAAACAGCTTTTACCCACTCCTTTTCTCGTGATCTGTTTTAATGTTAAGAAAGTATCACCCTTGACAAACCCGGAATAATGTTGGGTTTGCAATGTAGAAATCTGCTGTAAAACACCGTAAATATCAGTGTATTTTAGCAAAAGGTCATCTTGTTACTAATTACCCTCATTCTCTGTATCTGTCTGAAGAAAGACAGAACTTTGGGGTTTTTCTCCTTGCCTTCAGCTCTTGGGGTGATGGGGTAATCCAGGCACTCACAAGAGGCCAAATCTCGTGTTGCTTCAGGAACAAAGAAAGTTAAAAGTGAAATCATCAGATCTGTGTCTCTTATAAGTGAGTTTAGTTCACATGGAATGACTTGGGTCAGAACTTTAGGGTCAGTATAACCACGGATTTGCTGAACTTGGCCATTGTTCCCGTCAAGGTTCCACCAGATTTTCAATGAAAACCTGCAGGACAAGATGCCGGCAGCCTTGAGCCGGATGGTATTTTGCCTGTCAAGTAGTTCTGTTGAAATAAAGAGAAATACTGACATAGGAAGGGCTGAAAATGAGCAAATGTGGTGGATGGTGAATACATCAAAAATGACCTGTGTGGGACTAATTCAGTGAGCCAAAGTGGAGTTTCCTCGTACCTCGCAGGTTTGAATTCGACACGGTGCTCTGTAAACAATAAATCAATGCAAGTTATTTCTGTGAGTGCATGAAAGGTGTGAGAACTGTAATTTATTTTATAATAAATACTTCTGCTGAGCAAACAGTGAATGTTGCTATTAGAGACTTTCTCAAATAAGTGATTTTAGACTGCTGAGTGCCAGCTACTGATGTGGTAGTTGAGCTTTTAAAATGAAAAGACTGAATTCCTTTTGAAGATTCTTCTGAATGCTGTTGACACTTGTGCTAGGAAAGAATATAGAGTAATTTAATTCATTACTTTACTTAAAGATAACGTTTATGGTTGCAGCATTAACCTCCATTGGTGTGCAGACTGCTAGGCTGGAGATGTTTTGCTTGGAATATTTTGGGAGATGTTGCATCCTTTTATTAGGTGTGCGGAGACAGATTGTGTGCGGAAAACCTAGGTAGAAAAAATGTGTGAGGGAAAGGGGAGTTCAGGATCAGTCAGCTGGTGTGCCTGGATACAAGGACAAAGGGACAATTTTGCCCTTGGCTACAGTTTGACACTTCTACTGGATTCAGTCAGAATTATCTGTGTGCACTGAAGGGCAGAAATGTCATTTTTATGGCATTCTATATCCTTGGTCGCTTTTTTTTTGTAATTGGCTGCGTATACCAGTGCTGTAATAGAGCTCTTAAATCCTGACCCCAGACGAAATGGCATACAAATACTGGTATTAATACTTCTGTCCATTTTAAATACAGGATTGTCCTGAGTCCTTCCACCTCCTTTTTCAGGCACCGTCCTGTGTTTCGGCCTGTTTTACTGGCAGCCACACACCTCTCCAATGGCCCGGGGTGCTCCTCTGCTTTACTGCTCTTGGTCCCGTCTCCCCTTAGTCCTTTGGCCAACATCCTTCTGTTCCTTCTCTCGCTCTTCTGTCTTCATCTGTTTCCCTACCCTTGGCTCCCTTCACTTGCCTCTGTGACCTTTAAAGGTGGCTGAGGGCCCTTTGATGGGTCCAGACCCCCTCACACTTCTGCCCCTTCCCACTCATCTCTTCTGCATCAGAGTCATCTTCTTTTCTCCAAAAAAAAAGTTCCCTTGGCTGAACTGAAAAACAACCCTTCTGCTCCCAAAGCAGGGCGCTCTTCCTCTCCTGGTCCGAGGGTTTTGTGCTTCTGAGTCCTTCACTCTTCTCAGATTCTGCAGTTTTTCAGACCTTTGGCTGATACCTGGCACCCCCTCTTTGGGAGGAAAGGCAGTGATTTTATTGTTCTCCAAACCCTGCAGAAAAGCGAGCGGAAACTGGATTCGCTTAAGCTGTAGCCGGCGTGTTGGGATGGGACATTCCCAGCTCTGATCTGGGAGGCATGTGACATAATCCAGACATCATTTACTGGCTCCATATAACCTGAGGCATTCACACATAAATTCAGCCTGAATACATAAGCTTATATAAAGAGGATCCTTAAACTATCCTGGCTAAAAATATTTGTAAAATGCTGGGAAACTTTTTTTCGGTGCATTAGGATGCTCTCTTCCCTCTTATCTCTGTTACAGATACATAATGGGGTCACTTGCATGGTCTTAGGGACATCTTTTCCATGTGAAATACTGTAATTTCCTTAGGTGGATTAACAAGTATTTGGGGGCTGGAGTCTAAAACAAAAGATGTTTCGCAACTACAGAGGCTAAAGAGATTGAAAGTGTTATTGTAGGCTTATGTTAACCTGTCCTGTCCAGGTTAGTCTTTTGGCTACTCCCTGCACACTTTGAATCCTTATTTGCCCAAGGAGTGATTGTTCAATTCAGTAACTAATGTCTATTATTTATTATTAATTCAAAACATCGTGTGCATGATTTCTTTCCAATGTAAGAGCACATTAGCTTCTCCTGCACAAGAAAACACATGTTCATCTGTTTTCCATTATTGTCCAAAAGATTTTTTTCAAAAGGCAATTCATGTTGCCCCGACAACATTAAAGGCTGTAATTAAAAATAATTTTCCATTTATTTATATACATACACATTTATTTATTATGATCTTTTACTGCATTTCCCTAACTGTGCACACAGAAACCTAAAATGCTGTTGAAGAGTAAGCCAATATTCAGTGTAATGATCCAGTGTCGAGTGTGCCAGTACCCTGATGTACTTCAATTAACCACCTTTCCCAGCAAACACCTGCATAGAAAAATGGATCTTCTGTGGGATCAGCAGAAAAACAAACCCTGACTTTTCTGCATTGGCAGAGGAAGGGAATTCCAGTATTTCACAGCTTTTACTGATAATGATCTGCTACAGATTAAAAACAAAAAACAGACATTATGGTGTTGGCAGATTGCAAAAGGACTTGCTGGTTAAAGCTGCTGTTCATAGGAGATGAGGATAGTGTTTATTGCTTCCATATGGTCCAGAGATATAAGACAGGCAAAATGTCTGGGGAGAAGTAATGTATCTTATTATATTGATACAGAACGTACTTTCAGGTCTGTAGGCCCTTGTCCTGGTACCTTTCACAGGTGAGAGCGTGAGTGTGAAATATTTGCCCATGATTCAGCATGATGATAAAAAAAGATTGCTTAAGGATTGGATCCATTTCTGTGAGCGAAGTCTTAGAAATGCTGGGGTTTTTAAAGGGTCGAGGCTGGTAGCTGCCACCTAACACACGTATGTGAAGGATCATATTTTTCCTTGACTGTATAGTTTTCAACCCTTTGACTTTCCTATTCAGCTTTGTAAATTGCACTAAGAGCCTGAGTCTAAATTTAGTTTCATAAATTTGTGTCAAAAAACTCTCTTCTGCATAATGTAAAATTAAATTTCTTGGTCTCTTTGACCTCATGATTTTTTTTTAGCCAAATTTAGAACTAAACTAGGCACACTGAAACAGAAGAGAGCTACTTTTGTCTACACGTACACAAGTAGTTGACTGAAGAACTGTAGTCTTTGACTTCTTCATAATTATCACTTGTGAATCACCGTTACGTGTAGGAAAGATGACGCTGCCCTTCTGCAGAAGGTTGGGGAGTAAGATCTTCAAAGATCTAATGAAGATGCTCAGATATTGATACGCTTATTTTGTTGCAAAAAGGGAACAGGCAAAAGAATTGGAGACTTGCAAACCAGTCCACAAAGCTGAAATCCAAGAGGATTTCACCAGTCAAAAGATTAGCTGATCAGTCTTACTGTGTCCTTTTAAAAAAATATTGAAAATTGGTATTGTTTGTATGAATGTTGCAATTGTACTGTGCATGAACTCATATAGCAGGCATTCTTCATGTGATAACAGTACTTCTGCTCTCTTGTTCTCCCAGGGCTGATGAAATCGAGATGATCATGACAGACCTTGAAAGAGCAAATCAGGTAGGATTTTAAATGAGTCCCTCATAAAATTCTAAGTGTGACTTTGATTTTTTTTTTTCCCCCTTCTCTTTTGGATTTCATGACAGTTCTTTTATATGCACTTAGCAGTCATAAGTGTGTAGAGTAAGAAAATATGCAAATTTAGAGAAAAATACAGCTCTTTAGGGATACTCTGTGAGGATTGTATGCACAGTAGAGTAGTGCTTGCCATATATTTACCTTCTAATAATTTAAAGTTAAGTTTCCCACTATAGTTACTCTTGGGTTTATGTTTCTAAATCCATCACGTTGGCCCCTACTCGGACATCCAGGTAACTGGTTTACGCAATTTAAAGGGCCTCTGCCCTGCAGCAGTGGCAGGGCTGCCAGCAGCCTGACCTAGGGAAGCCTGACCTTCTGCTGCAGCTCCAGCTTTTGTGGACTTCTCTGGACTTTTCTTTTTCCTTCCTTTTCTGATATGTTTTATTGGTGTATTAATTTTTAGCAAGGGTTGGATCGGACTGTGCCGTGCAGGAGAACAAAGAAATTGTAATTTGTTCCTGCGGATGCTAATTTGGTAGACTGTGAAATGTCTTTCCCGTGTTCCCTCACAGTGCACATGCTCCCGAGAAAGTGGCACAATTGTGTGAAACTTTTTAAAATAAAAAGTTTCAAAAAACCCAAACCTAACACCCCAGTAAAGCACCCTTCTGGTCCAGTCTGTACTTTGTGTGACTGTTTGAGGTGATGGAGATGTGTATGGACATGCAGGATTCACAGGTGATATATGCAACGGGTGATGGTTTCACAGAGGGAACCCTCAACCAGGCATTTGCTTATCAGTGAGGTTCATTAATCCCTCTGTCAGGTAAGATCAGAGATTACAGATCTTAAGTCTCTCAGGTTATGGTTTTATAATCCAGTTGAAGCTTACCTAAGAGCAGCTTGCTTCCAGGAAGAATAGTTGCACCTCCTTCCCTACCATGCAGTCCTGCTGCACGCCTTGTGCTGTCGGTAGTGCTTGTGGAGCAGCACCATGAGCCAGACCAGGTCACTGATCCTGTTGAAAACTAACCCCCGCTCCAGCTGCTGTTTTGTTTTGTCTTTTCCCTTTTGCTAGATCAGCTTTCAGCCCCCACGCTCCCCTGGTGCAGCTGACAAGTATAGCAAGTATATTGTCCTTTACATGAATTCTTTATAAATTGGAAAAATACTAATGAAACAGAAGGCAGATTTGTAAGTTGTTGGGTTGATTATTTAGTCAGTAAAAGAAAATTGGGGTTTGCACAGTGGGTTTTAGTTCTGTCAAAGAACTTTTGTAGACAGCATTAAATATTTATGAAAGTGCTAGTAATTATTTGAAAAGCTGTAGACTTTTTAGAAATGATGTAGGTGTTAAAGATGTTTTGGTGGAATTATTTTGTGATTTTTGCAAAGGCAGTACATTTTGCAAAGTTGTAGCAATGATTTACCCAGTAGGTGTTTTTTCTCAGAGTAGAAAGGTGGTTGTAGTTAAAGAACAGGTATTTCTGATTTCCTCATTGCCATACTAAAATGGAATATATCTATTTATACAGAAATGCTAAAGATGTTTTCCTATCTAACTGGAACAAATCTGCAATGTGGTGGTTTTTTTTTTTACTTTATTGCATTGTTTTTTAATTAGTCAAAATTTATAACTGCTTATGTGCATAACCGTTAGTTGGGTTGTAATTCAGCAAACTCTGAATCTGTATGTAGACATCAGCGTGCAATTCCTCTGAGCTGTTGTAAAGCCAGAAGAGGTGGTTCTATCTCCCCTTTCCCCATCTCCCCCTCCTCTGCTTCCCCCTTCCGGCTGCTGTGGTCCTGTCCCCTCCCTAACAGCAGCTTTGGCAATTGGGAGACCCTTCATTGAGTCCATTGAGCTCAGTAACTGCAGAAAAGCCTGAATTTGGGGTGAAGGGGCCAGGTTTGTTTTCTGTGGGTTTAGCAAATTGAGGCAGCTCAACAAAACATTGGAGAAGCAGCAGCGCCGAGATGAGGGACGTGAGGGGAGTGTGTGGCCTCAGAGGAGACAGGGAAGGGAGAGTTCAGCGGTGGAGGAGCGGGAGCAGCGAGCTGCTGGAGTAGCTCAGCTGATTTGCTGAAACATGCCCGTAGTCCTTGTCTTGTGTGATGCTTTACCTTTGTAAAACACTTCTATAAATTATAACTAAGTAATCTTTGTAGCAGCAATTCCTGTGTTTTACCTCCTTAGAGTTGAAAAAAAAAATTGGAAGAAATTAAATCCGTTGCACAGGCCAGAAAGTGAGTTTGCATCAGGCTGAAGTGTTACAATTGCAGAAACAAGTACTTAACATAATTATGTATTTAATAGTTAAATTAACATTTCCTTTTACCATTTCAGTAAGCACTTATTCCCCATTATTAAGGCTACCTTTAAAGAGTAATGCACAGCATGACTCCTACTTTGAGAATAGACTGCCTTGCTGATTTTGATGTGATGTTTTGCTGCTCTGGAATTAACACTGACCCAAACGACTGGGATTCGGAGCAGAAATTTACAGAACAGCAAAATGTTTCCACTGAAAATGTGAAAAATATTTGCTGTAAATTTTTAAGTATCTGATATTTCTTGAAGATCCCTTTCTCAGTTACTGTCCTTTTTAAACCCAGAGCTGGCATTTCTGAACTTCCCTTGCTTTATGTGAGGACACCTCTCTGACTCTTAAGAGGTGGGGAGTGCCATTTCCCTCCCCAGTTCTGCAGGAATGAGAGGATACTCATTGACGTTGATCCAGGTGTCCATATTCTGGGTGATGAAAGCCACGGGGACAGAGTTGATGTTGTAACTCCCACCCTCGTGTCCTGTTAGGTGAAGCATGGACCATTCTTCTTAGTCTTCAGGCTTCATCACCCCTCTTCTCCCACTGTTTTTTCCTCGTTTGGATCCTCGGATTGTTTCATGCAGGAGCTTTTTGGGCTTGTTTCTGTGCTATCATCCCCAGAAGAAATTACTAGCTCGTAGAAATAATTACCTTTAAATACCAGTGAGCTTTGTAATTTTCTGCTTAGAAAGAAAAAGGTGTAGTGCCCGCAGAGCTGGGTTTCTCTCCATTGTGTCGTTAACTCAAGGTATAAACTGAATTTTGCTCCAAACCTTAACCCTAGCCAATGAGAGAAATAAACCCCTCACTTGAGCAGAGCAAACTGGGGTTGGAGAGGTTTGGAGGCAGGTGCTGGAGGTAGCGATGTGGTGGCAGCAGGGCTGCTGGGATGACAGCCCTTTCTCAGCTGCTAATCCGGGCACTCAGTGTGGTTAATCCGAGAGCTTGAGTGGGGTTTTGCAGCAGGGCTAGTCTCATTCAGACTGACAAAGCTCGAACAGAGTCATTTAAGTACACCAATTTACACCCTCTGTTAGGGTGAGGCCGGTCCTGGCTGGGAGGTGGGTGTCGGTGGTGGCAGTGGAGTAACCCTTCCACTTTAAAGTCTTGAGAGGTGTAAACCAGTACAAAAAGGACAAGAACACCACATTAAAATGGCTGGTCTACCTATACCTGCCTCAAGAGGAGCCATTAGCTCCATGGCATGTAGCTTTAGCAGGGGTGTAAAGTCTGAAGCCAATAGCCCCCGCTTGCTTTAGCAGTAAGATGCGACTGCATCATCTGCAAGACAGCAAGAGGAGCTGTGGGCAGCGGCAGCGGGGGTCTGTTATCCCTCTCTGTTTTCCTCCTCATCCCCGAGGTTGTATGACTTGTATGGCTTGGGTATGTAAAGGGCTGAAGTCAAAATATAACTAAATGCAATAGGAATTACTTATTTTCACTTGACTAACCCACCAGCTCGATAACAGAAATAACCCGAGAGCTCACCTTCGCATTTCCATGAAGATTTAATAATCCTGTAGTTTGGGGAAGGGACTCGTTTTATTAAGATTTCATTTTGCACAATAAATCACTGCATATTTTCTGATATGCTACGAAGTATAATAATAAATAATTAAAACTAAACTACCCTTACTTGTCAAAATAAATGATTTATCATAGTTTGGGATATAGCATCTTTGAATTTTTTATTGGTTGATTCCCAGAATATTGTAATTTCCAATCAGTGAAGTTAATGAAGCTCCAGTGTACTTTTCTGCATTTGCAACAGTTACAGTTGTCTGAATGTATATTTTACACAAATATTTATGGTTAGCACTTTTCTGTACAGTTTCAAGTTTACACCTTTCTCACAGTGTTTATAGCAGTAAGTCACGAATCTTTGGGATGACAAATTTATTCAAATGAATTATCCTTCTGTTTCTAGACTTCATCTAGCAACGTGGAATCACCCGGTTGTGTGTGAGAAAAACTGAGGTTTCTATTGAAAAGAGTAATTCCTATGTTGTAAAAACAGAAATACTTTGGAGTGTTAAATTTGAGGGGGGGTGTGTCATTTTAAGATTTTAATACTGAGTCTAAGTTTGTGGTTTCATGTCATTGAGGTATCCAGATCCGTCTACTGGCTTCATACATTCAGTTCACATTGTTTAAACAAAAAAAAAAAAAAAAAAAAAGTCTAATGGGCTTTGTAATTTGGACTTCCTGAAAAAAAAGTGCTTTTTCACTTTTAAAAGAAAAAGAGAAGAATTTCCGTTAGGGTTGGTTGATCCTGGGTTATTGTATTTTAATCTTGAGGAGAAGGAAATAGATTTGAAAAACAGACTCAGATATAGGTATCCTTAGATTCTGGTAGCAATAACAGAAAGAGAACATGGGACACTTTTTTTGGTGGACTATATTGTGAAAGCTATAGAGAAAGAATTAATATTTTTTTTTTCTTCTGTGTCTCTGCCAAGTTATCCCTTTGGAAAAGCAAAATGTTTCCATTGGTTTTCTTTACATCTTCACAGTGCTGATAGTGCTCCCAGATTTCTACTTCTTATTTTTTCTGGGGAAAGAAAGTCAAATACAGAAACTTCTGTTATCAATAAACCAAGAACAATTGTTCTTTCTGTAATACATAACCATTTATTAAAGAATCTAGACTGG